CTTAATTTGATCTTTCTTTTCATAATGTCAAAAGCATAATTTTCAATCAAAGTAAGTATGACTTACATCATTACATGCATGCATGCTTATGTTACCTCAACATGAAAATTAACAGTATATAAATATGCAGGCAACCAATTGGGGAGAACAAATTCAAAAGCAATGGATATTAATATATATTTACAGACTGGAAAAATAAATTTTCCTGTCAAGAATCGGAGATTTGATGGGCACAAGTAGGAGTAGGAGGCTCTATAGCTAGAAGCTGTGAGTAATTTGCATTGATTATTACCATGCTGTGATTGGCCCAGAAGTAGTGCAAAACTCTCCACTTCTATATATATATTCTTCAAGGCTGTAAATATATGTATTTACTCTACCTCCCCAGCTCAGGCCAGATTGTTTTACCCAAATAATCTAGGCTTAAAAGAGGGGTAGCAGAACCAAAAACATAGAAACCCTAATGGGAAAGAGCCTCAAGTACAGTTTGGAACCTATGTACAGGGTAGTTCATCAATTTCAAATGACAGTTTTGCCCTTGACAACCCTAGGTAAGTACAAGAATATCTTGTGGTTCTGGCTATGGCTAAATCTTGGCCTGGTTTTGTTATCAGAAAAAAGAAATAAAAAGGACTCTATGATCTCCATTAAAAGAAGAACCTCTAAATCACACAGTACCCCCATCATTTTTATGGTCATTCATTCATTCATTCAGAATCAGAAGCCTCTTCTTTCTTTCTTTCTTTCTTTCTTTCCAATCCATTATATCATCACTTCATATCATGCCACGCCATATTTTATATTATATTATTCTTCTCATTTCTCTCTCTCTCTCTCTCTCTCTCTCTCTCTCTCTCTCTCTCTCTCTCTCTCTCTCAAAGTGCATCATTAATAATTTTTCATATATTCTGGTCATGCCTTTTCAACCCAGTAATTCCCACTGATACCCTCCCTTTCTAAGCCCTCTTTTGTCCCTTCCCTTTTTATGAACCTCCTCTCTGTCAACTTCAGTCTTTCTCTCTCAGATATTTCTCTGATTTCCTCTCTTCATCTCTCCATGTGCCTCTCCCCCATCTTAATTATAAACCCATCTTGATCCCCAATCCCAACATTTCAATTTCATGCATTTCCTCTCTCTCTCTCTCTCTCTCTCTCTCTCTCTCTCTCTCTGGTGATCACTGTCTCCTTTTTGTTTGCTTCCCTTTGTAATTTTCTTCCTTCCAAGCCCTCTCAATGGAACCTCAACAAACCCAACAACAACCAAATGAAGATGGCAGCAACAAAGGGACTAGTAGTGGTACTAATTTTCTGTGCAGGCAAAGCAGTACAAGGTGGACACCCACAAGTGATCAGATTAGAATATTGAAGGATCTTTACTACAACAATGGTGTGAGGTCCCCAAGTGCAGAGCAGATTCAGAGGATCTCTGCTCGGCTGAGACAGTACGGCAAGATTGAAGGCAAGAACGTTTTCTATTGGTTTCAGAACCACAAGGCTCGTGAGAGGCAGAAGAAAAGGTTCATTGATGTACCAGCCCCACCCATCATGCAAAGATCAGGGCTTGGGATTAATAATAATAATGCTCCTACTGCTTATGAACCCATTAATCACAGCAACAAGTACCCCAACAGTTCTGCTTCCGCTGGTAATTAGTTGATTAAACAACCAACCCTTTTAGCTAATTAAAAACTTAATTACCTTCTCCCCTCCCCTTCTTTCTTTCTTTTACTATTTGGGTGTTTTTTATTTGTAGGGGTTTCTGCTTCTTCAGCTGGTGTGATTGCTGTTGGGCAAATGGGGAGCTATGGCTATGGATCTATGACCATGGAGAAGAGTTTTAGGGCAAGTATATAACACGAAGTTATTGTGTGTCTTAGTTGCTTAATTACAACCTGACCACCTTAATTTTTTGCACCCATGTGAGCACAGTGCAAGCTTAATTTACTATAATCTACTCATACAAAAACATCCCACATCAAGCCACTGGAAATTTTCTATATTTAGGAAGAAACCCTTTGGCCCCTTGTTTCCCTTTCATGACCAAATTAACAAAACCCCATTTCTCAAATCAAGCCAAACTAGTTGGACCCAATTTACAGTCCACTCTAGGACTGGTACTAAAATGAAAAAACAGTTTGACTACTTTTAACAAATTTGAAATTCATTAACCCATCTTCTCTCTTCTTCTTTTTCTTCTTTTTTTTTTTTTTAAAATTAATTGCAGGACTGCTCAATATCAGCTGCAGGAGGTACTAGTAGTGGTCATGTTGGTGGATCTAATAATAATATTGGTCACAACTTTGGATCATGGGTTGGTGTTGATCCATATTCTTCACCCTACACTCTCTTTGATAAGAGATCATCATCAAGACAAGTGTTTGGTGACCAAGAAAATACGATGGATGAAGAAGATCTTGAATACCAAGAAAACCTGCAAGCTTCCCCAGAGATTGAGACCCTCCCTCTCTTCCCCATGCATGGTGAAGACATCCACGGCTTTGGCAACATCAAGTCCACCTCCGACGGCTACTACTCCGGCTGGTACCGCTCCGACGACGGCAACAATGGCCGCACTTCCCTTGAGCTCAGCCTCAATTCCTACGGCCACATGACCCCTGATTATTTCAGATCATATTAATCAAGACCAGACTAATTAATTAGTATCCCCATGTTAATGTTTATGATCTTGTATCAGCTTGTAAGTATCTGAATGGCTACTACTAATTATGTTTGCTTAACTACTATATGTCAATGGGTATTGGACACGTGTCATGCAAAGAACTTAATCTGCTGATGATTATCTTGCTTTTAACTTTTAGTTGTTCCTATTCCCAAGAATATTCCATGGTAATTATTTGCTAATTAAGATGCATGGAGTCTCAATGATAAAATAACAATAATAATCCCATGATTCTTAATTAAAATGCAACAACATGATCCGATGGTGCAGATTTTAACTGCTGGACAGTTTGCAGTCACCTTCATTGGATTAAATAATGCATTAATAAAAGGCCTGTTCATTTTCAAGCACTTAATAATAAACAAATAAATAAATAAAAGTTAAAACTGCAGCTAGACTAGAGAGATGAAGAAGATCAAATTTGGACTAGCTTGCTGTGCTAGCTGTGACGTCATTTGTCTACAGAGATTGTAAGTGTGGGGCCCTGGAACTTGAAGGGAACTACGGTGGGTTTATACGTTAGGTTTTGGAGTTGTCAAGGTGGGTTGTGTTTATGTTGTTGTGGTGGGTGCGGGCAATGGGCATTGTCGAAAAGATTTGCCAATGATATCAAATGGTGTACAAAGGAAATATAGAAAGATATGCTGTTAGGGCAAAAATGATGAAAGTGTGTGAATGTATTTTTATTTTATATGCAGCCGTTTTTATAAAGTAGCTGGGAGCTAGTGGTAAGTGCGAGGAGGATATATTTTGAAGTTTGAACCTACTTTGGAAATACCAAAATATTCTTCTTCTCCTCCTCTTTTTTTTAATTATATATATATATGATATGAAGCAAGTTATTTTATATATGCATTAAAATAAATCCAACAATCATGAATAATATAAGTGTTGAAAAAAGTGTTACATTTCATTAGTAATGTGGTCTTATTTTTTACTTTACACTAAATTTTATTATTTGAACTGATGTTCGCGCCATTCACTTATTCAATATAAAAATTGTCAATTTCGGTGTCCAAATATCTCGGTAGGCTTCCCAGTTGGTTTTTCACGGTCAATTAGTCGGTCGATTTTGGGATTTTGATATTTTTTGCCAGCCCTAGCTTCGAGTATATAAATAAAAGACATATTTCTTGTACCATTGGATTTACAATCACTTAAAACTTTGACGAGTGTAAATGGCATCTTCTTCACATGAGTACTAAATGAGTTAAACAAGCAGAAATGAAATGTGTGTACAAATGAACGTGACATGAGCCATACGACACATTCACAAAGGCATTCACTCTCCATCAGTCCATATATATATATATATATATATATATGTTCACAATTGGGTTCAATTTTTCTTGCGTCTGGTAGAGCTCAGCTCAGCTCAGCTTGTGGACAACTCTATAAATGAGGTCCCCATCAACAAGATTTTGGGTGGATGCATTCCTTTTTCTGGTTTGACAGAAGTTCAAACTTTATAGCTTAGGGCTGACCTTAATTGTCGTTTAGAGCATACAAAGCCTCAAGAGGGAAAAAAATAAAAAAAACAGAGAGCATGGTCTCTTCAAAGAAGTAACTAACAGACAATGCTTCTTGTTCCTGGTTGATAGATATGAGATTTAGGTGTGGATCAAAGAAGATCTTTAAAGCTTTCTGAGGCTTCAAGTACGTAATGTCCCTTACCAGCAAAATGAGGCATGACATACATCATGCTTTTCAGCCAATTCTATGTAAAAGCCTTCAAAGCCATGGTCCAAGTTGGTTTGCTTGCCATTTTCATCACAACTATATATATTGCGGTTCAATATTTTTTTTACCTATTGATCCGCATGGGTCCATAAAGACATTTTGCTTTACCCGTACGTATAATATGTCCACTTACTCACATTTCCATAATCTCTCCCACATGAGTTTTATCTTTATCTTCTTCTCTTGGAATGGAGAACTTCAGTAGTCTGACCTTAGTTTGAATTTTAAGTGAATCTCGAGTTTTTCGGGTGCAGAATCCACACCATCCACGGTTGTCGGTTCTCCATGCTTCAATAGACTACTCTATGTTGTTGATATGTGCATCGTCTACACGGTACACCCATCAACGACTGTCAATTACTAACGCATATTTTGGCACTAGTGTGACATTAGAAAACGCCTATTTTGGCACTAGTGTGACATTAGAAAACGCCTATTTTGGCACTAGTGTGACGTGACATTAGAAAACGCCTATTTTGGCACTAGTGTGACTGGCCTCCACCACTTGATATCTGATCTGACATTTCATGTTCATGATACGATTTACAATCATGGAACATGCACACTATGTAAAATTTGGAAGTGATAAATTCTGTAAAAAAATTTACATTTAGATGCCTGACACTGACTATACAAAGAGCAGGCCATACGACCTGGAACTTACTTGCAGAGCATCTATAAATCCTTTAAGAATCTATATTTTGGATTTAAAAAAATGACTCATACGATTGTGTTTTTTGGGTCATAATATGACTCATACGTCAGTACAATTGTCTTTTTCTGTTCAATGGGGTCCCAGCAGCAAGGCTGAATCATGACAATAGCTAGGGAACTCTGGCTCTGGCTGTAACTTCAAGTTTCACTTACAAATGGACAACTAAATGGCACTTTTGAACTGCTAGGCGCTAGAAATTAGGGGGGAGATGACCGAAAATTTCTACTTTCTTCCGACATAAGCTCCCAATTTGGACAAATCTGGAATCCAAAATGATAGCTCAGAAGATCCCGTGGCAAACATGAGGTTTCCCGGAGCCCATTTGACAACAGGAGGTTCATTTTCAGTGCTCATCCAACTTGTGACCTGGATAGGTTACAAACATTAATTGTGACTTAGACGCACAAGGAGAACAAAGAAATACGAATGGAAGAAGGCAGAAAATTATTTATCATACTTCTTTCCCACTCCGAACACTCCATGCATAGACACTACCATCACCTGAACCTGCCAAAAGTTTGGAAACCAAGAAATCATTTGTCTGCCAGTCCAGCCAGGTTAAATTATCATGGGTGGAATTCAGGGGTATGCTAGGGAAAGCAGGTGTTTTTTGGGAAGTATATTGAATAAGATGTATGCATAAAAATGAAACCACAGCCTTGAAGAAACTATGCATTTAAACAACAATCAACAAGACGATGTCCCAGAGCTTACTCACATGACACAAGAAATCGTAAGTGACAATTATGTGGGAATTTTATACCCACTCAGCACAAAAGGCACATATAAGTACAACAAAAAGAAAAAACAAAACAGAAGACATGCATACCTGATATGACAAACATCCCCTCTGGGCTGAAAGAAGCCTCTAATGTTGAACTGCTGGAGACTGGCTTTACATTATACGTGGATAACTAAACAATGACAAAAAAACCATATTAGAAAGACTAAATTATGTAAAGGCTACCAATTCAAGAAATTCAAGATGATCTGAGTTGGTTGAGAGCAAACTTTTTCAAATTAAAATTGAGTTGTTGAGGAGAGCAAATTACAAGTGTGCCACGGAACGAATCAAGAACATGAATATGTCCATCTGTGGTTGTTAAAAGCACAAGTCTCCCATCATTACTGAATTTTACAACATTTGCATCAGACATATCTCCCCCAACAGAGAAGATATCAAAAGGACCCTAACAAGATGAAACAGTTTAGACAACCAGATCAGCCATGCTTAAATTGTCATATGCAGATAAAACAGTTTACACGGCTGCAAAATTTCAATTGCCATATGCACTGAAATATAAACAACTGACCTTTTCATACTTGCGGGCATCAAACATTCTTATGAATCCACCAAAGGCAACTGCAAAAACTAGCCCTTGATCATCATAAGTTGTGGCAGGCCTTCCTTGTACGCGTAAGAGACCCTAAAATACGCACACAGATTATAATCATTCAAAGAAAGACATGTAATATAAGAAACCGAACCCAATACCCATATGCCAAGGCCCCTACCTGACACTTCTCAGCCCGTTGATCCCAAAGCAGAACAGTTCTATCAAGAGAACCGGAGATGAAGCAGTCTTTGCGAGAACACAAGCTAAGTGAGACTACCCTAAACACAAAAGTTCAGAACCCAATTTCTCCAATTAGACCGATATGTTCAACTACTTCAGTACAACCACCCACTTGAGTTTAAAAAAAACATGGCAATAATCTCAGAAACCAGACCTGTCATGGTGGCCTTTGAAATAGCGCAAGTACTTGTTGTCATGCAATGAGAGAAGCCTCAAGGATTCTGAATGAACCAGTCATATAAACAACACATTCTAAGTATGCCACACAATTGACAAACATAAATATCAAACATGGTAGTTGAGGTAAAGTGGAAGCATACCATCCCAGCCATTTTTGGAAGAGTATATAACTGTGGTAGGATGAGAAGTAAAGCAAACCAAATCAACTCCATACTTTTTGCTGTTGATGGTCTTCAAGCATGTTGCAGTGGAGACATCATATAAACGAATCGACTCATCATCACTAGCAGTCACTACATAACTAGTCGCCTTGTGAAAATCCAATGAACTAATTCTACCACTCTGAGCATAAAAGCAAATACTCAGATTCAAATAAACAAAGCTCGAAGAAAATGGTGGTTTTTATTTATTTGTTAAATGATGAAAACAACCAGAAACAGATAGATAAAGTACTTACATAGTCTCTAAAAGCTAACCCAACTTCCATGCTTTGAAGAATTTCCTCTGTCAGCTCCATAGAGACCTTGTCTTCTCTTTCTGAACCCCCTTCACAGCAAGAACAAAAATAGTAAATAAAATCAGTAATTCTCCACTAATTGACACCAAATCTAAGCGAAAAATGTACAAAATTTCACACCAGCCATTGGGAATCGGTTAATATGGTTCTGGGTCTATCTCATTCCGGGAAATTGAAAATTTCAGTCAAGCCCTCCGCCTCCCGCCTCCTGCCTCCTTCTCCAACCTTCGGCAATGTAAATGAAATAGACACACAGTCGTTTTTCTTTTTCGTCTGAATTTTTCCTTTTCGTAAGCCCCCCAAGTTTGTTATTGGGTGAGCTCAAGCCCATATATGTGTTTCATGAACTTTGGACCAGGTTTGTTAGCTCGTATGCTTTTACTTTTTGGGTTGGATCTTTTATTGGCCCAATGAATTCTTCTTTAGTCCATTTATTTTTATGGTGATACCATCATCTAATTCAATTCTCAATATGAATTGGATGATTGGATTTGATTTAAACTTTTGATCCGATCATATTGAATTGAAAACATCACGAATCTATATCCTATATAAATTGAATAAATTATATTACTTTCGAACCGATGCACACCTTTAATTATCATATGACAAAAAATTTCATGAATTTTGTACTTTCGTCCATAATGTTGAATTTATGAAATTCTCTAACAGGTGTCGTTAGTATGTATCAATTTATAAACAAAGTGCTTTGTGTTGGAAAAACAACAATCAGTGACTAATTAAAATAATTATATAAATATAATTTACAATAAACTGTAATACAGAATGCAGTATATAAACAATAAATGAAACTGACTTGAATTCGAGATAGAGGCTTGCATATTTGATGCAATGTCATAAAGATAGTAATTTCACCCCTTCTCGGTGCTTGAAGTTCTACAGATGACTGCCTCTCAGGATTCAACTATCTGTATTCTAAGCCCTAGCGCTCGGACTTAGAATCTGACAAACGTTGTTTGTTTTCCTCTCAGACAATATGAAATGTTTGTAAATGCTTTTTCTGTGTTGAACGTATGAGGTCTTGTTTGGTTTAAATAAACTTATGAAACCTTATCAGAAGAGTCACAACCCAAATCGATTTTGAAGCCCAAGTTGTTTCCACTTGGCCTACTTCCATTTACTAAGTGTGGCACTTCCACACTTATAAGGATCTCACTCTTTCTACTTTCTACCAATGTGGGACAAAGGTTCTTGAATTTCATTCAAACTTCCAACACTTTAAGGACCAAAGATTTTTCACAGACATCTTATCTGCTTTTTTTTTTCTTTTTTTCTGACTAAAGACAAGCATCTTATCCTTGCAAATTCGATTCCATAGGGAACAAACACCATACATATTGCATTCTCAAGAAAATAGAAAAACTATATATATATATATATAGAGAGAGAGAGAGAGAGAGAGAGAGAGAGAGAGAGAGAGTTGTTCTCTACTACAGACGTTTGTATTTTTTCCATAGTCCGGACTACTTTTTGCCTTCTTTGTGCTAGTAAATCAACCCAAACGCTTTTATCACTTTTCTTGGTAAAGGTAGAATAGAAACCATGCTCTGCCAATACTTAAGAGCAAGTCCAACCATGCAGCCCAGCCCGAGGGGAGGGGGGAAAAAGCCAAAAAAATGGTTCCAGCGGCGAAGCCCAGGCCCGGGGGGGGGCGGGAGC